GAAATTTATAAAATGTACAAAAAGCAAACCACAAAAACTAAGTAAAGTTTAAAGTAATTAAAAATCAAGTAAAGCTAAATAAAAGATAAATATTAGATTAGATATAAAAAATATAGGAAATTTTTTCTTCACGAAATGAATCTTGACTTTGTAGACAGATTAGAAGTTATTGTGAATTGTTTATACCAAATAAATTTCTGAGAATTTTAGATAATAAAGTGTACTAGAAGCAAAAACAAATAAGATATTTTTCTACAAAGTTGGTAACATGCATGAAAATTTGATTCTGTTTATATTAGTAACTTGATAAATAAAAAATAAAAAAAAGAAACAAATATCTTAATAAATCTATTAAAGCACTCATTTTGGGACTGACAAGTGTTGTAATAGTATTTTTTTTATTCTTTGGCCAACGGATACAGAATTCTATAACATAATAAAAAAAATAGCAAAAAAATGAATAATATAACAAGAAGTGCACAAAAGTCAAACTAAAGAAAAGAAAGTGAAAATAAAAAATTTCAAATAAATTTTAAAAAATAATTAACTACATTTTGTAAACAATTATATAAGTAATTTATAAACTTGTGTTCAAATACATTTTTTATAGTTTTTAAGTCGATAACAAAATAAGAACTTTATTTCTGAAAATATTTGTCATTCATTTTTGATTTAATGAAACTATTAAAACACTGATATGGGTGTCAAAAAAATACCACGAAAACCACTTGTCATTTCCGTAATAACAAGGATGTTTGTGATCATTTGATTTTTTTCAAAAAAAAGTTTTGGGCAACTTTGAACGCTCTTAACTTCCAAACCGCTGCAGCTAGAACCATGCGATAAAAACCAATCGAAAGCAAATTTAATTCTCTATTTCCCGGATTTTTCCCGGATTTTTACCTGATACTGTCGTCCGGATTCTGCTTGTTTTCCGTGCGAGTGATATTGGCCAAACAGCACGATATGTCATTCTTACTGTAGGACGGAAGCACTGTTGTATTAATATGGAGAGTGGCAATATTGTCGTTTTTTGTCACAAACGTTAACAAATCATGTTTACTACAAGAAAAGTATTTTTTCGGATGGTAAAACTTCAAGATTTCGGCCTGGAACGGGTCCAAATTCGGTATCTTGCATTTCGGGGTCGCGACCAAATAACTACTTTCTACGAAAAAAAAACATTTATTTTTAATTAATTGTGGGTGCGACTGACTTACCGTTGTAATCTTGCGTTTCAGTGGTGAAAAAAATCGTTTTTTGGTCGAGGAACTCATTTTTGTAGTACAAAATCGGGACGAAAAAGAACACAGAAAGTGCGATGATCACGACGATTTTGCAACCGCTGTGTTCGATCATTTTGGACCGATTTTAAGGTTCATATCCTTGGGTTTTCGTTGCGACTTCAAGGTGTTGGAGGCGTCATTATTTTTCCGGGTAATTGAGCACTTGTGACAAATCGAAAACCTGCAAATGTCATTTTTACTAACTCGAAACACACAAAATTAATGCAAACTTGGGATACGTGGAGCATGGCACTGGGAAAAGGGATGATTTGAGAAAACATCAATGATGGCCGAGTTTGCGTAGATCGCGACTTGATTAATACAGCGAATTTGAGCAATTATTTGATTGTACTTGAAGTTAAAGGGCGTTAATAATAGATTTGGACAGCGACAACGCTACTGTGAGTGTTGGACACGACTCTGTTTTGTTTGTGTGCGATGGGAGGAAATTAATTGGGAAAAAATCAGGCTTGAAATAAACCATACCTCGTGTTTTATCGCGCTATTAAAATTATCGCAATTCCGAAACATTGTTATTTTGTAAGTGTTGTTTGTTCTTGACAGGTGATTCTCTGCAATAAAATTTCTATAAATACTGTTGTAATCTTTTTGATAAGTGGTCCCACATGCTTCCTGTGATAGAAACAGCGGAAGTTTTCAATGAAGTGACTTTTTAACTTTGTTTCAATCAATTAATTGTTTTTTCCATTTTTCGAAGCATGTTTCAGCGAGGAGAGAGACATTTTTTACTGTGAATGGACTGTTGTTTTTTTTTAATTTAAGTTACATTTTTTATATTCTGGTTCTGGTCAAGTTTAACCCCATGCTTTTTTCTAACTTTTGTTGTCAAAAAATTTTAGAAAGTTTCGATTTTTTTCGAAATGCGAGCCAAAATAAAGGTTTTTTCAAAATTTTTGTTAGTGAACGAATTTTAGTAAGAATATGGAGAATTTTTTTTAATTTTAATTTTTTTTAAGTTTAGTCTAGTTATGGGCAAACAACGGATTCGTTTTTTTTGAATTTTTGATAACAGTAGAATATCGATAAATCGAACTTCTGTATCTCGAAATTTCGATAAGTGGAAGTGATTGGCTGGTCTTGAGCGTTTATTAATAGAAATCAATGTAACTTTTGCTCAATATTTCAAACCTTTTTAAGTCGAATTTCTCTTTAAGAATAAAGCCAAAAATCGACCAAAATCTCGACAAAAATCAAAAAAATTTATCCATATAACGTTTATTTACATTTCTAGAAATTTTAAAGGATCAAAAAAGTACATAAAACGTTATTGGGTCAAGCTTAAAAAATTACGAATTTTTTTAGTTTTTCAAGGTGAGCGGTAGTAAAATCGTAAAAATAGTCAATTTACTAAAAGTCGTAAAAACGCTTGAAATATAGTTTTCTAGACGTAAAATTACGCGCTGAACACGATGCAACAAGTTAAAATACTCTACGATGCATAGTTTTTGAGATATAGAATAATAAAGTTAAGAATAATGCTAGAAATATCCGATTTTGACCAAAAAATCAAAATTTTTTTATTCTTATGAAAAACTAGCACTATATGTAAAATTAACCGTAGAACACGCCTGTACAAATCGTTTTGATCTAGGACTCATAGTTTTTGAGATATTAATTTTTTTTTAATAAAACTAAAAATGGCTCTGTACCCGGAACCATAACCCGGAGCGACTTCCGGTTTACGCCATTAGATAGATAATTTCAAGCTAATTCTAATGGTTTTTAGCTTTATACTCTAAGTCTTATAGTTTCGTAGAAAAACGCGTTTAAAGTTTCACAATTTTGACAATTTTGACTTTTTGAACGACGATTACGGCCAAACTATTATACTTAGAGCAAAAAGTTTAACACCATCGTAATCAGCGTGGGAAAATCTATCGACTGAGGCTAAAGCCAAGTCGATATCTCGCAAAAAATGTTCAAAAACACTAGATTTTAAATTTTAACAAATTTTTAGTTTTTTTTATTTTGTAAATTGCGGCAAAACTGTGCCTCAATGATGTTATATTTTGACCTAAGCCTATGTAAAATGTTCCGGGGAATCGATTGGCGTCAAGAAAACTTCAAAATTCCTATTAGTTTTGAAGTTATAGTCGGATTTAAATTTTCGATATTTTTGACTTTATCAGAAATTTTCTCGATAACTATTCATCGTAGAGCACTGAAATTTTTAATATATGTCAGAAAATTTAATTTTCTATCTAACGGTACCAAATATAAGAGGTTATTACCAATAAGTCCGGAGTTATTGGCAATAGACTGCTCCGGGTTCCAAAAATAAAGACAAAAATCAACCAAAATCTCGACAAAAATCAAAAAAAAAATATTATTTTAAGACCAATGAATAAAAATTGTATTTACATATACAGGCTGAATATAAAGTATGAAACCAAACGGTTTTATTTTTAATCATTTGCCTCCAGAAAATAATGATTAATATAAATTAAAGTAATATAAAAAATGTGATCGTATTTTCAGAACGAAATTTTGTTTTGTTTTTGAGTTATGCGATTTTTTTTGTCAAAATTGCAATTTATGTAAAAAAAAATTTTTGTTAAAATTAAAAATAAAGGAGATAGTTGTAATCCTTAGAGTATAGCTTTTATGAGAAAAATGATTTTATAGAGGGTTGCCATTTAAAAAAATATTTTTTTTTGTAGAACTCAAAAACAANAGTATAGCTTTTATGAGAAAAATGATTTTATAGAGGGTTGCCATTTAAAAAAATATTTTTTTTTGTAGAACTCAAAAACAAAAGGAAATTTCGAAAAATTTTATTCTTGTTAAATCATCACATTTTTATAGTACTTTAACACTCATCAATTAGTTTTTTCAAAAAATAAATAGTTTAAACAAAAAACGTTTGGTTCCATACTTTTTATTCACCTTTAAGAGCTTATGTTTGTTTATAATTTAATGTCGTAAGAAAATAATTTTTGTATACATTTTGTAATTTTCAATAATTTGACTTGATAAAAAAATTCGAATAATTTTTTTCGTAATAGGTATGTACTTCGGCTTAATTTTTGTTTTGGAAATTATTAGAAAAAAATGTAATTTTTAAATTTTTGTGGTGCGTCGTGGAGAAAAAAGTAACTTTGATTTTTTTCGGACATTTTTTTTTTGGTAAATTTATAAAGTTGATAATTAAGTATCGACTAAAAAAATGGGAGTTGTATCTTTTTCAATTTTTTGTTTTGTTTTTGAATTCTGCAAAAAAATTATTTTTTTTTAATGGCAAGTTGGCAACACACTATAAGACCTAACAGTACAAAATTTAGGACTATAACATTTTTTAAATTGTTTTTGTAAAGTATGTTTAATAACAAACATTTTGAGAAAAACGTCCAATTTGGCCATTTTTTTGAAGTTATACATTTCAAAAATAACTAAGTCTCCAGAACGGTTTTATAAAAAAAAGTTGGAAGAAACCATTAAATATAAGCTGAATTAAAGAACAAATTAAAAGTTATATATTTTTTGGTTGTTTTGGGAAAACGAATTAATCACAAGAGGAAAGGAAACAAAAAATGTAATATCAAAGAACGATTTTTGTTTTTTGCAATATTTATTTAATTTTTTAACAGTTTCCAAACCAAGCGATGCTTCGCAGAAAGCACTTTGAGTTAGTTTAACTTTGCTTTTAAAGATTTTCAACTCAAATTTTCGGTTTGAGTCCGAAAAAGACTCATTTTAGAGAGTTAAAGTAGCACGTATACAAAAAAACTCACTTTGGTTTGAATCTGAACTTGAATATTTGCACTTTTTAATTAGCTAATGATCGATTTGTGCAAAACCAAGACGTTTTCCAAATCAGATTACCCTTGTGGGGCTTCCCCTAACCAGATTCCCAGTCGAGACATGACCGCCACACGCAAAACTTTGCAAAAATTCCTTCTCCTCCTTTTATTTCACTCAATCTCGACCAAATTCCTCGACGACATTTGTGGCCACATCAACGGTCAGCGAATCTTCCTCGAGTATGGCGAATCGGGCACTCTGGAAGCCAACTACTCCAACAACATTTTCGAGCGATTTTACAAAACCAAACCCGAGAGACGCTGCATCGTCGAGTTCGTTTCGTGCCCCTCTTGCGTCATAAAAATCACCTTCAAGTAAGTTAAAAGGGCCTATTCTGTAAATACTTATTAAAAAATAAAGGAACCTTTAAATTTAAATATTTAAACCCTTAAATTTAAATAAGCTATTCTGTATGCATAAAATTAAATGCTCATTTAAAAATATATTTTTTAAACGGACCCTTTAAAATATTCGGCTTTCATCGTATTAAATAGAGGAAATGTTATTATTTTGTTATAAATGAACTATTTTTGCTGGTTTTAAATGATGAGCCGACTACGAAAAATGTCAAGTCAGTTTTATTTGTCATTTTCCGTAAAAAACGTTCAAAATGCTTAAAGAAAGACTGGCACAAATGACGAAAGCGCAGAAAGAGGTGCACATAAGGTATGCACATTTTAGATCAAACTCATTCTAAAGAATCCAAAATAAGGAAATTTAAAAAAGACAAAAAAAAGAGAATTGTTGAGCCTCAGTTTGCAGGCATATCAAGAAATCGAAAACGAAAAATGTTTGGAATTCTTGGCCAGTAATATTCTTTGCTACAATAACATGGTTGACCTGGATATATAGGATGTTCTTCTGGGGGAAAAATAATTTTAATATGTGCACAGTCAATAATTACAATCGCAACTTCATTAACAGGAAATTTTATCCAAATATTAATTAATCCTTGAATAATTGCATTGGTCATCTCATTAATATTCCTACTGGTATTCTAGTATTTCGTTGTGCTCTTTGCATAACTGTCATTGACTAAATCTTAATCTTAAATTTATTTAAACGAAATAAAAGCATCATTCAAAGTACATAAATGGATTTGTGGTATCCCGTAATTGACGCTGATAAATTCTGTTTTCTACTCTGTTTTTTCTAATGTCTTCTTCATAAGCAATAATTAAATGAAGAAATCCATCAAACGCCATTGTTTATAATGCACGATGTTTAACACTTCTACCACTGATTTGCATTTTTCTACACTGACGACTGACGTTTGTTTCCTTTATTATTTTAAATGCTACCCACAAAGTACCCTTTAAAAATTAAGCATTTAAAGGTGAAAAATAAAGGGGGTATTTAAAATTTTAACAGAAAAGATACATACAGAATAGCATCGAAATATTAAATGTGATTTAAAATTTTTAACACCCTTTAAAATTGTTTGTATGTTTACAGAATAGGCCCTAAAGTCTGTTTTTTTTTTAAATGGAAATTACCAAGTCAAAATTTTGGTGAAAAAATTGGTAGCAGCTTGTCTCCATAGCCACAAATTTTGTTTGCTCTTTGTTTTTGCCCCTAGAAATTTTGTTAAAAAATTATGGTTGTGTTCAAATTGAGATGTTGTCAAAAATTTGACTTTTATGAATCTGAGGACAGACAACATTACCTAAGGTCTAAAGACGAAATTGAGTGCTAATAATTTTGATAGAAACACACCGCAAGTAAGTGGACAAAAATGAGGTTCTTGCTACAAAAACTTTGAAGAAAAAGTTTGTTTATACGGAAAAAAGTTATTTAGCAAAAGATACAAGTAGGTATTATGATGGTTGGCAATAAATTTTGTGTAATTGATTGAAATGAGCTTAAAGTTGATTCATTTTATAAATTCTTCTTCAGCTTTAGTTTCAAAATTGTTACTTTTTCAACTTGATCCTCAAAAAACAATGCACAAGACACTAATTTAATTGCGTTCTTTCCGAGGTTTCTTCTCATTCATGTTTATTTTCTATTCTAGTCGATTTCTTGCTAAAAATTAAGAATATTTAGCAAACCTGCATTACAAATGTCATCTACATTTTAACGGGCCCTTTTTCTAACTTCCTGCTTGCGAACTATTCGTTTCCAAATTTCGAAAAACTGTTAAGTGTACCGAATTTGTTTCCTTTTTGGTGTTTCGTCTCTAAATTTTCTTAGACGATTTTTTGTGTTGACGTTCAATGACTGTTTTCAAAATAAATCAAAAAACCGGAACTGCCAATTTCCTTTATTAAAATTACCATAAAATAATTTACTAGTGATGTCAACGTTAAGACTGTATGGCATTTCCATTAAAAAAAAAAACAGACTTTACATTCGAACAGTTTCAAATTTTTGAAGTTTTATGAATTTGTCGACTTGTGGTGGCGACACTTGTGCTTGTGATCACGTGTGGATCTACCAGCCCACGTTCGAGCAGTCGTCGGAGCAGTTTTGCAGGTTTACCAACAGCTCGATGGTCTACCAAAGTCAGACAAGACGCGCAATTGTGGTTTTTTTGTACTCAAAGAAGTACGAAATTGCCTTCAGTTTGGACTACGTTTCAGAACGTGAGGCTTCCTGACCGGTGAAATCAGGGCCGTAACCAGGATTTTATTTCGGGTGGGGTTTC